GTGTGTGTGAAAGTTCATAGCTAATGGCTACATGACAATTTTACTGGACTAGATAAATGGCCACTACTTGGCTCAAGGTTTTGTGTCAGTGATTTAAAAAAAAAAAAAACTTCATTGTTGCCAAAGAAAAATTGAATGGTAGGTGGGAAAACAAAATGACTTTTACATACAGCCTAAACATGAATAAATAAAACCTAGAGAAGTCATTCCACTTACATTGTTATCCAGTGTGTGTCATATGTATTCCTGTACTGTTGAAATGATCCAAACAACTTTGGTAGAAGACGAATTGAAACAACCACAGACCTAGCAAAATAAGAAATAAATAGTTTGTCACAAGATTCAAATACAAATATTCTGTCAAGAGTCAAATATTATAACTGATAGAGAAAGTGGTAATACCTACCTACTGTTAGCAATATTATCAAGACAACCCTCAATAAATTTCATTCTAATCTGTCTGTCAGTGAACCAGACCACCAGCTGACAAAGTAGTTTCTCTGCTTCCATCGCCAGGCCTTCTCCAAGAAAAGACTGAAAACAATCATTTACAGATAATTGTCGGTGATGTATGTATACTGAATTGAAATTGTAGGAAGTTTATTTCAGAACATACAAAGAGGGTGTATCATGTCTTTATTCTCGAACAATACATTTTGTTGTTGAAAGTGGAGTGATGGAAGTAATTGTCACAATGTGCACATGATATCCAAATTATTCTAAAACTTTTAAAGTCAGTATTCGTACTAACAAAATCAGTCAAAGAATCTGAATATAGATATGTGGTTTAATAATATAAAGTATTGTCTTAGTACCAATAAAATCAGCCAAAGAGTGACAGAGAAAATGGGAATAAAACACAATGTACACCAGACAGCCAGCCAAACAAAACTTACAGCTGTGTCTTCTTGCACTAAATCCCAAAGCAAAGTGTTCCCTTTCTTGCAAACATCTTCAAAGTTAAAATCAAAATGCTGTAATGAATGCTCCTGAGTTATCTTGTGTTCTGGTAAACCTGCAATACAGGAAGAATATACATGAAATATGTGCTTTCTTCTTAACAGCTACCAACTTATTTTTCTTGGTTGTGCAAACTGTGATTTAACATGCAATTCAATTATAAGAAGGGTATAAATTAAATATGTGCACAGCAATGTCTTTGACTTGCATTCAACAAACCAAACACTTCCCCTCATATGAACAATACGTTAAAACATTCCATTTATATATATATCAGTAACAATTGATAGACATGTCTACAATGTTTTAACAAGAACACAGATTCAGTATGAAGTAGACGAGTTTTATGTTCATTTCACCTGGTTTGTCGCAAAAATATAGTGAGGAAATAAGACACAATTTAAACACATCTTCAGACCTCAAAATGTTCATATAAACCAAATGAACAGTTCTGGCATCATGTTCATCATGTGATGTTCAAAACGAGTATATCATTTTGTTGTTTTTGCATAATGGGGCTAAATTGCGACTTGCCAGCACTTTGTGAAAAGTTCCCATTACACAATTACATGTTCCTTATACCTCAGTGTCTTATGAAAACTACTTCTTACCTTGTACTCGGTGATAGATAGTGGTCATTTTAACTAACTGATGTTGCATTTGCGTGTTTAACTGTGCTCTTTGGTGAGCACTGAGTTGTGCTAATTCCTCTTCACATAGAGACTCCTCACCATCAAAGTCAGCCATGTTCTTTTCTGATTTGGCACTGGCTTGCGAACTACTACAACTGATATCTTCAGTGCTTAAAACTTCATCCATATTACTGCAAACAAGTGTTCAGTTAAACAGGTAATTTAATTTTGCAAGCTATAACTGCATATCACAATCATTAAATCATACAGAATTCATAGACTAGATCATATAAGTTTCCAAAAGTGATATAAACATGACACATTTTCAAATAAGACACAAGTAACAATTTCAAACAAGCCCATGTTTATGGAATACTATATTTCATTGTTTCACTGCCAATATAAATCTGGCAGTGAACACAGATTTGTTCATGAAGATTAGCAGCAAAAGCCAGCAAATGAAGGAAATAACGTCGTTCTAACTAGACAAATATTACTCCACAGCCTATGACATCACGGCAGACACTCAGAACAATCAATAAATATTGAATCTTTCAAGTTGTTATCCATATCTTCCATAGAAGCAAGCAGATTTGCAACAAGGCCATATTACCAGTGAAAGAAATATACCATAAATATAACTACCTTCTAATGGCATGATGATGACCAGCTAGTAATCCTCTGCAATCATAAATCTCAGTTTCCATACTTCTATCAAAATACTCTTGAGTCTCGCCAGAATCCTCCAATGGAGGCATGGAATCATTAGAGTGTTGAGAATCACTCTTATTCAAGGCTCTTTGCTCACTATCAACTCTAGTCCGAGCACCCACTTTACATTTCACTCGTATTTTTTGGCTTTCATGATCTGCCATTTCAACATCTGAAGTCCTCAGTTCATGGGGTGAAGGATGTGATCCGTCACCATGACAATGATGAATACCACGTTGCCTAGCACCAAATTCACTACTCTGACTGTCAGGACTCAGTGATGCATGTTCACATATTTCGCCGTGTTCAACTTCATCACTAGGCACGTCCTCGCTACATTCGTCAGCCTCGCTCATACCACTATGTTGTTCATAATCGCTATCAGATTCATCCTCTTCTTCCACGCCACTACTATTATGACTACGTTCCACACTGCATTCCTCACTACCACTGGTTTCCCTACTCTCCTCTTCCTCCTCGATGTCTTCTTCATTCTCTGCACTGGATTCCTGAAGATTTAACAAATTATTTGAAAAAGGGTTAAAACAGGTCAGACCAGCTTGAGGACTTGTGATGTATAAGCCTACAGTGGGCCAGAGCTCAAACCATAGAAGAGCACACATGACAGATTAAAAAAAAGCACTGGATAAACATTATATAAAATACTCACCAACTGCTGCCGGGCCCTTTTCCGAGGGCCAATCTGCCTGTGTTTGCATTTTGGATGGTGTCCATGGCGATGATGATGGTGGTGGTGGTGGTGGTGGTGGTGATGACGATGATGCAATTCTTCCTCTTGCTCAATATCACTTACTTCTGCACTCATGCTGTTTTCACTGCTACTCATACTATGATGACCAACAGCAACACCTGTTTTTTGTAAGAGCAATATCATCACAAATGTCAAACATGTAGAAGCACATTTGAATTAATATTTGTAGCTTTGAAAATTAAATCTGCTTTTATAGTATTAGGTTGTTAGACTTATTTTTCCATTAGCAAAACTAAATTCAGGTGATAAGACATCATGTGAAAAAAGCATTGACATCGCAAAGTTTACCACTAGCAATGATCTAAGAGTGTAAGTGTACCATTGGCTAAATAGGAATGTGATGCAAATGGTCATTGTAATGTGCAAGCAAAATTCACTATGTAGAACGAGTCCATCTTGGAAAAACTGTTGTTAGAATGATGTGCACCTGTAACCCAGTATGCATGATCCTGATCAAGGCCTTGTTCATCTGTGAGCAATGGTTCTAAACATGTTTACGGGCTGCGATTTTAGACAAAATGACTGTTAATTCAACAAGTTTGATCAAGTCGCACACATCCTATAGTATTATCTATGAGTATATTCAACTGGATCAGGCAATCTATTAGTAAGGAATTGGCATAGAAATGAATAAAAAATCTTTGCCTGTGCTATACTTGAAGGTAGGATATGTACTGGAGACATTCAGACTTCAATTCCTGGAAACTACTGAAATTTATAGAATAGTGAAAGACACGCATGTTATGGTGTGATAAGAAACTCACCTTCTTCTAGTGATGAGTCTGCATGTGATGACTTGACTGGTGTCGAATGTGACTGTCTACTCAGCTGCTGGGTGGCAGTTACCGCCTGTGTTCTCAAGGCATTGTTCCACAAATGTTTCGTCAGCACTGATGCCAGATACAAGGTCTGAAAGAGAAAATACATTCTCAACATGTAAACAGCTCCATTAGACTAAAAAAACAAACCTCTTCTGTAATTACATATTTCCAACACAGACAACCAACATAATAAGGATATAATATGATTATTAACAAACAGTGAATGAAGCCTTAAACTCCCATCATAATATAAAGATCATATTAAAAACGCATGTGATGTTAACACTTACTTGTTCAGTATGAGTAGATGGATGAAGCTTGGATACTAGTTTTAACATATATCTCAAAGGGACAGGCTCTAAATGTTTTATAAGTTGAGGCAGTAAATCATAGACATAACGACTTGAGTGTTTCAGCTGAGCTGCAGCCCACACACAGTCTATATGCTCTGTTGTTAAGTAACCTTCTGCAGCCAGGAAGTTTAGGATAACTTGGCACTGCTTTAAAATCTGGGAAAAAAATTACCAAAAATGTGTTTTCCATCAGTTTTATTAAAGGTCATGTCTATATAGAAGATAAACGTATGAACCATGCAAGTGGCAGGTTGCCAGTCACAAGAGCAGGACTCACAGCTCACAGTAGCATATCATTCATGATAACCAGAAACAGATGATGCTTTGTATACTCACCTCTACATGTAAATTGGGTCCAAAAATATGTTCAACAATCTTTTTTTCAATAAGCCACTGCGCCAGTTGAGCACCAACACTACAAATAAACAATGAATATTGATAACAAATATCTTTTATTAACTAAATCGTGATCCCAACTTTCTGCAAAGCAAAGGAGCTGTATACACTCTTTGCTCTATCAGAGGCAAATCACAAAGAAAGCCACATGTGAGCAGATGTTTTGGGGGGATTTTAAGGAGTCTGCACCCATTAAACATATTGCCAGATTTCTGTGACTTTCAATGTGGCTGTAATTTATTCTGTTGGTCACCACACTACCTTTAATGCCTATATGTATAATATTGTTTTCAACAAGAAGTCAAAAATATCACTTTTTACCAAAAATGACAGTACCGTAAAAATCATATTTGAGGTCGCAGCTTTAATAGAAGCCGCACCCCTAACTTGAGACAATGTTTCATGTTGAAATTGACAAGTTTTGATCCCAGGAAAAAGCCTGCAATATAAGCCGCACCCCAAACTTTCACAAACCAAACAGCCATCACATATTTCAGAAAAAGATATACCATTTAATTTTAAATTAAGGCATAATTTTTCAAACATTTCAATGATTCCTGACGCTTAGATTAGCGTCTAATTTAGGTTTTCCGTAGTCATTGACGCTTATTCCAGAGTACAAGTTTATTGTGGGTAGCGTGAATGGGTAAACTGCATTTCGACAATGAGCTGTTATTAGTGTCAAAAGTGTTAAATTCTTCTTCAGTGCTCAGCCTATCTTTCGAGACAACTAATTTCTTGATTTAAAAAAAAATTATGCCGTTTTCCCATCAAAATCAAAGCCAAACGATTGCACTACAACAACGGAAAATTTCTTCAGTGTTTTGTTTACCATGAGGTCGCAGAACTACATTAACATATTTAAATGAGCTATGGTAATTTAATCACGTTAGCACCATCCAGCGTTTCGATTGGTTAATTAGCGACTTGACCTATCAGGTCAAAAAACAGTTTCAAGTCACTAAAGAAGTTTTAACAAACATGGCGAGCGTTTATATGTGACAGAAATCATTCGCTTACGGTGAAACTAAGTTGAATTTTAACAACAATTGAACAAATTTATTTTTTGTACGCTATTGTAATCACTACTGAGTAATAAAGCAATTGTAACACTTTGAAAACAAGTAAGTATTTCACTTGTGTGAAATGCAGCATGGCCGTTACTGTGATCATTTGCTACTAAGAATGCATTGGTTTTTGTTTTTACTTCTTTTAGAATATACTTTTCATTATCAAAAAAATAAGAAAATAAATATATTTACATTAAATAATTTACTGAGTATTTTTTTTTTTATCGTGCGAACATTTTTTTTTTATTGACTTTTTTTATATTTTTATTTTAATTTCCCCGATGTCTAAATTAAACATGGAATGTACAGTTACTCTGCCGGAAGTCAAACATGCCAGTAGTTGAACGCAATCGACTGTGTCAGACGGCTGTCTCTCAGTTGTGACCTATACCGATGCTAACGAATTAGTCTATTCAAGAGATTGTAGTATACAGTACCATAATCTGCAAATGCATACAAATCTATTTGTAGATATTATTTATTGTGCAGTATACAGTGTGAAATTTTGTTTGTGTACAAGTTTGTCTTTGTGTAAAAATCCGAAAGTGCGCTTAGAATCGCAACAAAGTTGCAATCAAGTGTCGTGCATCGTATTAGCATATCTTTATCCCTTCTGGCCTTTGTTTTTTGAAACAATTTTGCACTGTTACCAAAGTGAATGCTGTAATTGAAGCCGCACCAAGACTTCACGCATCTGAATTTGTCCATTGAAAAAATGAATTTTAATTAAAGCCGCTGCCTCAATTAGGAATTTTACGGTAGAAAAAGTAAAAAATTTACACGGTGGACGGACGATCACCAATACAATAGCACCGCTGTCGACTTTGTCGAGCAGAGCTAAAAAAAAGTATAATCAAAGAAAGCTTAGAAAGAACTCCCATGTGCTGAGAGTATTGGAGACACATTAAATATAATTCGAAATTACTTAGCTGAAAACTAATTATGCAAATCAGAAAATTAATATGACCAGATTTGAGTGTAAAACTAATGAGGTCTGCACAATGTAACAGAAAATCTATGTCTCCAAGTTTAATTGAAATGTGATTAGAACCAAAAAATTATGAATTATTATGCTTATTAGGGAATTAATATGAACAGATTTTTACCCCAAACTAATTAGGTTTGTACATTGTCCTAGAGCAAAGTTTCATTGAAATGGAATAATTAGTACCGTGAAAACTCCAAAATTTCGACCCCTCTAAAAATTCGATCGCCTATTTATTTGCCGGGTTTCGGTGTTTTATTTACCTCCAAATTTTCGACTCCACTAAAAATTGCCGACTCATTCTTATTCGAAAATTGCGACCAGTTTTAGTTTTCCCCCAAACGAAAAAAAAAAACGATGTGAGCGTTCAAACGGGACCTTCCTCAAAGGCATGAATCCGGGTTTCTGATTGACTGAGAGATTTTTATTTTATTGGTAACGAAAATATATTCTAAATAAACGAAGTTTCAAATAAAAACGAACACAAAAATCTCGGCATGCTGCGTTTCTGAATTTGTTGATTATTACTGTACTCAGTAGTGATTATAATAATGTACACAAAATAAATTTGTTGAATGGTTATGAAATACAAATAAAAGTCAACTTAGTTTCATCGTAAGCGAATGATTCCGG